TTTCCCTAGATATTCACCTGGCCCACTCTCTCACTTACTGCAAACTTTTGCTCAAATGCCATCCTGCTCAATGAGGCTTGATCTGACCATCCTATTTAAAATTGCAAGCCATTCCCCTTTCCTCTTTTCCCACCCTACATCATTTACTTGTTTACTCTAATTGTCATCTGTCTCCCTCCACTAGAATGTCTTTGTCATTAGAATCAATATTTTAAAAAATCAATATTTTCTACTGGTTTTTCTCAAGTTCCTGGAACACTGCATGCCACTTGGAAGGAACTCAATAAATATTTGTCCAATAAATGAGTCCTTTTTTGTAGTGGATTTTCTGCTTCCTTTCTCCAAGCTTATTCTTTTTTTAAACCATAATTTTATTTATTTATTTATTTGGTTGCTCCGGGTCTTAGTTGTGGCATGCATGTGGGATCTAGTTCCCTGACCAGGGATCGAACCCAGGACCCCTGCATTGGGAGCTCGGAGTCTTATCCACAGGGAAGTCCCTAACCTTTCTTTTTATCCAACTTGTTTTCCTTCCATCCATAGTGTTCTTCATGTTCATGTACTAGTTTTTTCTTTTCCTTTTTTTTTTGACTGGGTGGGGGTATTTTAATTACAGAAATGGCATCATATAATACCCATCACTCAGTCAGCAGATTTTCTCACCTAACAATACTAGGACAATAGATACTGATGCTACAAATCTTTTTAATGCTTGCGTAATGTTCCAGCATATGAGGTGAGTACACTACTTTTATTCATGTCTGTCACTATTTTTCCACTCCCCTCAATTTGGACCACCCCATCCCAGGTCTCCCCCATTTTTCCTGCTACCTAGTACCATTTACCCATGTACCCAACAGTCCCGAACATACTGATCATTCAGTAAAGTGTTTGTTGCAACCCTGGTCAGTTTCTGGCAGCGATTAGCTGTGTGCATTGTTTGAGCAAGAGCGACTGAAAGGACAGAAGAAGGCACGGCTGAAGAAATTAAAAGCTGGGGTGAGGCTCCCCTGGGGCCTTGGGTGTCTCCCTGAAGCAGCGTGGGCTTCGGAGGGGAAGGGCGGGCTTATGGGACCGAGAGGACCGGGTTGGCAGCTCTTGGAGGGAAGGGTGGCCCTGGGGTGTCAAGGGCGGCTATGGGGTGTCAAGGGCCTGTGCAGGAGAGCGGAGTAGGTTGGGGGTGGACCTGGGCGGGGCTTGGAGGGGCGAGGCCAGCCAGGGGGCGGGGCGGGCAGAGAGCGCAGACTCAAATGCGGGCTGACAGCTGGGCTTTCCAGTCCGACAGCAGCGCTCTGAGAGCCATGGAGCGCACCGGTGGGCGGCTCGCTTGCTCGACCGTGGGGCTGTGGCTGGGGTTGTTGCTGCTGTGCAGCTGGGGGTTCCCTGGGAGCGCCGAGCCACGGGCCCCGCCGGAGAATATCGGTAGGCGAGAAGAAGGCGGCGCGCGGCGGGGGGCGGTGGGAGCGCGCCCCACGCCGGGCGGCCGCTGCCTGATGCTCCAGGCCGGGCACCCGCGACGCCCGCCGGGCCGCGCAGAACGAGCTCCCTGCGCAAGTGGAGCTCTTCCCGGTTCGCACCTTGGGACTGCTTTACGTGTCCCAGGGACCGCCCTTTCCCGGGCGTGGAGACTTGCCCGCTTGAGCAATGGGCCGTGGAGGGGGGCGACCCGGGCTGGCGGGCGGGCGCCAGGCCTCCCTGCAGCCCCTGAGTCGGAGGCCTTGGGCTCCGGGGAGGCTGAGGCCCCTCCCGCGGCCTTCCCTTGCTGCACTTGTTGGGAGGTCGGTCTTCTGGCTGGTCCGGGAGCGACAGGCCAATTCCGCTCTGCAGATGAGAGGCGCACGCGGGCACAGCACACCAAGAAGCGCAGATAAGCTGACCGCGCTGACCGCGTCTGCTTCCAGTGATGGGCTGGGGCGCCCTTCCCCCCGTCCGCTTTGCTGAAGTCGGCCGGCTGGCACAGTTCCCTGGCTTGCACAAGTTCTCTGCCTAGGACGACTACAGAGCTGAAACAGTCACTCTTTTAGTTTGAGTCGTTTTGGTGGTTTTCCCCCTGTTTATTTTGTTTTGCTTTGTTTTTTTTATTCCCCTTTAAGCCGTGTCCTTTGGAATCATTAACCTGTTTACATTAACGAGACGGAACAAATCAAGGCAAAAATGGCGGCCACTTTATTTGAAATGCGTCCTGGAAAGGCCCCGCCTCCTCTGTTCCTTTGCATTGGGCACAAAGAAGGGTGTGCGGCGATCCACTTGGTCCTTCCGCAACGAACTGTGAGAATCTTGGGCCATCTGGCAAAAAAAAAAAAGTGTAACTACTACTTTTGTCTGGGGGCAGTGTCTGGCCAGATTCATAGTTCTATCTTCACTGCAGCTGTCACTTGCTTCCCCCTCCCCAGGCTTCCCTAAATTGTTGATAACAGCCTTAAGCAACGTCAGTTGTTGATTTATGGCCTTTCAAAAACAAAGCAAACCTACAAAGCTAGTAAGAGGGAAAAAAACCTGTTCCTTTATTTTCCCCCATAGCGATTATTGGAGCTGGCATTGGTGGCACTTCAGCAGCCTATTATCTGCGGCAGAAATTTGGGAACGATGTGAAGATTGACGTGTTTGAAAAAGGAGAGGTGGGGGGCCGTCTGGCCACCGTGACTATGCAGGGGCAAGAATATGAGTCAGGAGGTTCTGTCATCCATCCTTTAAATCTGCACATGAAGCGTTTTGTCAAGGACCTGGGTATGTAATTTGGTCTTAGAGCTAAGCAGACTTCAATATGCATGGATATTGTTGTCAGATAGGGAACTGAAACTTTCCTGCCTTGTTAATCGTCTGTTACAGTGAAGCTGGTAAAACTGCTTTTCTCACTTTCCTGCTAGCAATTGGTACTGCCTTAGGAGCTGCTCTGCTGTAATGGGACACTAGTTATCTGTATCTTCAGTTATCTGGAATTACAGCCATGGGGCACAGGGTGGGGATGGTTGCTGCTGTGGGTTCTTAAACCTCTGGGTTCGTGTTAAAGAATCAAAGAATGGTTTGAGTTAGCAGAAACCCTAGCGTGCTCATTTTACAGCTGGGGAAATGAGGCCCAGAGACTTGAGGTGTCTGGCTTAAGGTCACTCACACAGCTGTAGGTGCAAACATGTGCCTAGAACTTGGGACATCGGACTGCTTGCCTATCAGCAGAGGCACCGGACAGGTGTGGGGGAAGCGTGGCCAGCCTCTGCAGGCTCTTTCCTCAGGGAATATTGTGTAATTTTGGCCTTCTTCCAGTTATCAGAAATATCCAGTTATGCAAAATAGGATTTGCACAGGAATGGGGCTGACTCCTTTTCCTTAGCTGCTTGCCACATCTCTGGTGGACGCCTCCTGGGCCTCTTTCCTCCATGAGGGCGAGTGTATGCCAGGAGCCATTTATGCTGCCAAGAGTCATGTCTGACATTTCTGTTTTTAAGTTGAATTCAGCTCATCATTTGGTTTTTTTCTTTTGACGTTTTAGTCTTTTTAGACTAACTATAGACAGTCTCGTTTTGATATATCTGCATGATCATCCAACCCATCTTTCAGGGAATCCGCTTTTGGAAAGTGTGGTGTCTAGTGTATCACCCACTGTTCTAAAGACAGAGCTCCTTTAACATGTCTCCTGAGAACTGGGGGAAGCCCGGATTCACTCACTTCAGAACGTCCCCGCTAGCTTCAGATTACCTTCTCTCATTTGAGCAGTACAGAAACCACTGACTTAGCTACCTTTCTTTGTTTTTACAGGTCTCTCTGCTGTTCAGAGCCCTAGTGGCCTAGTGGGCGTGTATAACGGAGAGACTCTGGTATATGAGGAGAACAGCTGGTTTATAATAAACATGATTAAACTAATTTGGCACTATGGATTTCAGTCCCTCCGAATGCACATGTGGGTAGAGGATATATTAGACAAGTTTATGAGGTAATTTCTTCTCTTCCATTTAACCTAAGACTTATTAGATGATCTGTAGGAATTATAGTTTTTTGGAACAGTTCTCTACCTAACTGCAGCCTGTTTTTAAGATCGTTAGGCAAAATGTTTTGTATGCAATACGCAGACCATTTATCCACTTCGAAGCTGAAAGGGTAGTTTATTTTTGCTTCTGAAAACATATTTTGCAACTGCTTATTTAATGTTACCAGACACTTTAAAATGCTCTACAAGTATTAACTCCTTGAAGTCTCGTGACAGCTCTCTGACGTAAGTACTGTTATTAGCTTCTTTTCACAGGTGTGGAAGGTGGAAGCTTAGAGAGGTTTCAAGTGTGCAAGTCCACCCGCCTAGTAACTGGTGGAGCTGGAGTTCTTACCCAGGCAGTCTGGCTCCAGAGTCCTCCCTCTTAATCTCGGAACTGTTTTAGTGTTGTGTGTAGATGAATGAGCTGATGTGTACAAGAGCTTGTAGAAAGGATCAGAAAACTTAAATGAGCTTTATTTAACTGTGATGTGATGTTTCAGTGAGCCAGCAGCCTGAAATATCAGTTCTGAGACCCAGGAATTTAAATTAGGATATTAAATTCCCACACTGTCTTGTGTAGTGAGAATACAGGTGCCTCTTTTCCTTCTCTGTTTTTCTGTATTTTCAAAAATTTCTTTGTGTATGAATATGCATTGCTTTGGTAAGTAGGAAAAATAACATAAGATAACCAGTCTACCTTTGAAAGATACAACCTGTTTTTTTTTTTTAAGGTCATTGGCATGTGCTAATTTTTATGCTGGTTTACAGTTTTAGATGCTGGAGAAACTCAGCTTGTATGCTAATAATGTTTCATTACTGTGACTGTGCCAACGGAATAAAATAATTGTTAAAAAGGTAAAATTAGGGACTTCCCCTGGTGGTACAGTGGATGAGAATCCTCCTGCCAACGCGGGGGATGCAGGATCGATCCCTGGTCTGGGAAGATCCCACATGCTGTGAAGCAACTAAGCCTGTGCGCCACAACTGCTGAGCCTGTGCTCTAGAGCCAGCGAGCCACTACTACTGAGCCCGTGCGCCCTAGAGCCTGCGCGCTACAACTACAAAAACCCACGTTCTCTAGGGCCTGCGTGCCACAACTACTGAGCCTGCGTGCTGCAACTGTTGAAGCCCACGTGCCTAGAGCCCATGCTCCGCAACAAGAGAAGCCATTGCAAGGAGAAGCCTGTGCACCACAACAAAGAGTAGCCCCCACTCGCCACAACTAGAGAGAGCCTGCATGCAGCAACAGAGACGCAACGCAGCCAAAAAAAACAAATAAAATTAAATCTGTCAAAAAAAAAAAGGTAAAATTACATGTCATATGACCAAGTATTGTTCAGCACAAATGTAAGCGGTGAATAGGATAAATGTACTCTAGTTTCTGTAACTTATAGTAGTTAGGGATTTCTTTCTTTCTAAACATCATTCTGAGGTCAATTTCTTGAACTCCTTTCCAGCGGGTACGTTAAGTTCAGCTATAGTGCAGGTTGTTTTAAAGTAGTCATTCATTCGTTTCTTCATTCACCAAATATTGAGTACTTATTATGTGCCAGGCAGTATTCTAGGTCCTAAAGATGTAGAACCCAGAACATGTCCCTGCCCTCAAAGAATACATATTCTAGTAGAGAGACAAGCAGTTTACTAGGAAAATATATAGAATTTGTATAGAGACAGCCAGTCACTTTTTTTCTTTTAATTTTTTATTTTTTGGCTGTGTTGGGTCTTCGTTGCTGGGTGTGGGCTTTCTCTAGTTGCGGTGAGCGGGGGCTACTCTTCCTTGCAGTGCGTGGGTTTCTCATTGTGGTGGCTTCTCTTGTTGCAGAGCACAGGTTCTAGGCACGTGGGCTTCAGTAATTGCAGCATGCAGGTTCAGTAGTTGTGGCACACGGGCCCTAGAGCGCAGGCTCAGTAGTTGTGGTGCATGGGTTTCTGCAGCATGTGGGATCTTCTCGGACCAGGGATTGAACACTTGTCCCCTGCATTACAGCCAGTCACTTTTTAAATTTTTTTTGTGGTACGTGGGCCTCTCACTGTTGTGGCCTCTCCCGTTGCGGAGCACAGGCTCCGGACGCGCAGGTTCAGCGGCCATGGCTCACGGGCCCAGCCGCTTCGCGGCTTGTGGGATCTTCCTGGACCGGGGCACGAACCCATGTGCCCTGCATCGGCAGGTGGACTCTCAACCACTGCGCCACCAGGGAAGCCCTACAGCCAGTCACTTTTTAAAGAAAGGGGACATGTTGCTGC